CTGACGGAACTACTCTGTCCTCCTCATTACTGAGGGTCAGGCCGTAATGTCTCCTTGCTGTGATCATTGTAGCAACTCCCATGCAAGATCAGCGGCCATTTCTTTGAAGACTAGTTTATGTTAGCTCGGGAACTAGTTTTGTGATCTACCGCATCTAAGCACATCTTGCAGCTGAGCGAAACGCCGCGGCCTCACTCCGGCAACGGCCTTGATGGCATATAGGGCGTGTCACTGTTACTTCCCGACCTCGATTGATTTCTGTGAAACCGGTTTCAATAATACGAGGAAATTAACCGTTTAATGACACTCGTAGACTGGCTTACTGCTAGGCAAGTCCAAAAACCAATATTTCGCCCTTGCTTTCGGCGAATGCAAAACCTTGGCGCTTGTTTCTCCTCTTACTTCAATTAAAACAGGCTCTTTCGGATGCGAACAGAAGTTTGAAGAAGGTCTTACTTGAGACCAACGAGGCCATATCCAAGCAAAAGAAGACGTTAACCAACCGTAGCACGTCCACGCTTCCGTCGGAGATCGGTTTTGATGTGATTGCTGTCGATCGTCTCGCTCAACTTCAGAGTGAACTTCAAGACCTGAGAGTCAGGCTGTTTGTCGACCGGCAAGACACAGCTACCTGTACTGCTGATGACTGCGGTGTATGTGTCAAGGAAGTTGGGCTGCAAGCCACGTGTACTGACCCTGGAAGATTGTCGAGTGACCTGGCCGCTTCTGTAAACCCCCACGTACGTTACGCGATTTGTTTTCGCTCTCACTCTTGGCTCAACTTTTTACACCTCGGACCTAGTTCACCATTTATACCCACTGCCCACTTATTTTAAAGGACCCCTGTTGTCCAGCGCCACGATAGGCTATCTGCAATGCAGCTAAAATAGAAGAGTGGTTGCTGCCACCAATGGCGTCCATGGGATTTAATACCAAGATCACATCAAGGAGGCAGTGCTCTTTGGCAGTCAGTAGCGACCACATCCGACGCATCCACCGTGCAAAACCCCACTCCACCCGTCCGCGCCACCACCACCACCTCCTCTGTAGGTGACAATGACACCGCCGATTTCTCATGCTCACACTGTCCACGCACATTCACCTCACGCATCGGCCTGGTCGGTCACTCGCGAATTCATCGCACAGAGACTGGAGAACCAGTGCCTGGAGTACCAACCTATACTCACCAAGCTCGTCTCAACTGCCCACACTGCCCTCGCTCCTTCAGGCATCGCATGGGCCTATTCGGCCACATGCGCATCCACGACGACCTGCAGTAGACAACCGCCGGCCACACCACACATTCACTCACTCCCTACCACCACCACCATCACCCCACCACACATCAACACTCCCGCACCTCATGCACCCAACTGTCACCTCCCACGCAAGTGGGAAGTGTGCATCTCGACTCGGTCCTCATGCGGCTTCGGCTGCAGGGGTCACTTGAGTCCGAGCCTATCCCGACACGGCAAGCGTCGTGGATAGAAAGGTTGCTGATTGACGCCCGCTCTCGGTTCACGCAGTTCGTCGCGTTGTGTGTGTTGTGTGTAGTGGCGGACTGGTGGGCTGGGCAGCGAGCTGAAACAGCACCTTCCACGGCCCTCTCACGCAAGTGAGAGACACGCCGTTCAACCCACGTTGTGTGAAATCCTGGTGTTTGTGTGTATGGGGGGCCAGGTCGTGCTGTGGCGCACGCAGGCATGGTCAGTCGACCGTGTCAGCCACCGCGCCCATTTCCCCCTCCAGTCTGCTGACCGTCTCGGACAGCGGCTGAGGTGTGGGGATGGGAAGGGAGAGTGAGGTCGACGACTCAGCGCATTTTCCTCACTATAAACAATCTGACGCGCTTGAAGCTATCACGGTGCGCTAAAAGCCGTGGCTTGGAAGGTTGCCAAGTGACGGGGTACCTTGGAGCTCCTCCTTGACTGGAGGCGGTCTGAGAGTCAGGCTGCAATGGCTCCTTTTTAATGTGGCCTTTATGGCATTCCCATCAGTGTGGGATCCTAGCCAGGCGTTGGCGGCACGCCTAGGTGCGGCTTCGGCCGTGCCAGCCTCCAAATCTCTGTTATGTTGGTTGAAATCCTGGTTATTTGTTGTGTGGACCAGGGGGTGTGGTGGAACGCCAAGGTGAGGATCCGTCCGAGCCATCCACCTGCGGCCTCCCTCGTCTCCGGTCTTCTTGACTCTGTCTTGACACCGGGCCCAGGCGGGGGAGGAGGAGAGAGTGTAGGTAGATGCAGCGCAAGTCACCGTCCCTGCTCCCACCTGCTGTGGGGCATACGGTGGACATCATCGAAATCGATGGTCGAACTGTCATATTTGGAGTAAATGACAGAAGCCCTTAAAACTCCATCTAAACGGTACAGCCGTGAAGGGAAATATTAAAATTGCAAAAATTTTGCATCTAGTTTTAGTGTGCAGAATGCATACATCTAATGGTGAGACATAAATGTGAAGGTGTGACATTTGCGAAATAACAGCGAAAATAATCCTCCACTCATTAGCACTGGAAATTTTCATCCGGGTAAATGTTAATGGGCGCATAAGGGTCTGTTGAATTTATGTAAGTAGCATGTTGATAGGTATTTAAATAATCAGCCGGATTTAGGAGCTTGGTTTGTCTATTGACAGACGATTATCCAGATCTCTCTTCAACACACGGTAGGGAAGTTAACAAAATACGTTGACAAGGAATTCTACTGGTAAATAACTGTCTGCGAGAAAAAGGAGGAACGTTGATTTGCGTGGCACAGTTCTTTTGTAAGCTAGTAATCGTGTCGCCTGAAATTAGTCTTTGGTGCCATTTCGAAAAGAGTTTCCCAATAGACATACAGATGAAGCCCTCTTAACAACTGAAACGTTTCTACGATGTCACCTCTATCCTGCCTGTAGTGGAGTCAATAGAGGTTCAAGGCCGTCAGGCGCTGCTCGTGCGTGAAATTTTTGAGTTCATGAACAGCCCTTGTAGGACGTGGCAAGTAGTCATCTACCCGATTTTGTTGCAGCAGTGTACACTCAGCGCGGTAACCTCTCCTTGTATTAAATTATTTTCATAATGTCAACTTTTTCTGTACTGATGGTTTTGCTGTTTCTACTGAGTAATCAATGCCTCTCCCTGTCTGTTTTGTCAGCTCTTAGACGTAGAAGAGGATGATCCTAAAGGACAGCATGGAACCCTCTCCGCGGATGTTGCAAAGGCGGGCCAGGCGTACTCGTTATCTCTGGACGTTACTGCTGCTGCCGCTGATGCTACAATTGGCGCCCGCATTGATACTGTTTCTCTCCAGAAGCTAACGGATGTCCGGGGTGTGCTTTCGACTCTTCGCTCGCGGTTGGAGGCTGAGGAAGCAGTTCGTAGAGCTGATCGTGTCACTTGCACCGAAGGCGTTGCCTTGGGAGAGGAGAGCAACACTAAATTGAAGGCCAAGCTAGCTACACTGACATCGCATCTGGCTGCCTCTGTGAGGTCAAGGGTCAGTTTTGAAGACTCCTTCTGTTTTTAATCGTAATGAATCACCAATTTTCGCGCTTGTTATTTAGTGGCTTCTGTCATGCAGGGGACGCCTGCTGTTCGCGCACGTGTCTCTCTTCTTTCCTCCCCCCTCCTCTTCTTCCTTGCTTTTTCTTCTTCATCGCACTTTTTTCCTTCCTTTATACTAAAATGGCGTCCGGCCCAAGTTTTTTACACCCAGTGCTCGTCCCCTCCGGATGTCCATTGTGTCTGTGAGAGCCATTTACTCCCGAGTACATCCAGAGCTGAATAAGGACTTCCACAGAGTGTGAGAAGCCAGTCTGGCCAGGTCATGTGTTGAGCTTGCCGTTCTCTCGGCCGATATCGAGAATATTCGAGTTCATATAGGGAGGACAAATTGTTTCAAGCCGGCTTTTGAGTTTACCCCCTCCTCGACGCCCCCAGGGGGGCAGCAACGCTGAGCTCATGAGGCGAACGACGAAAAATGTGCCCAAGCCGCCTCAGTCGTCTTTACTGGATAACCTGAGATATCCTCGCGGTTTTGTCACATCGAGTGCGGAATGTATGTCATTTGAGAAGTTGGTGTACTTGCGTTCGCACGACGCCCGATACCGCCTCCGGTCGGCCTGACCCCGTCTTGTCACCGGGTCTCGGTGGGTGAGGGAGGAGGGGGTTCGGCAGTTGCTGCGCTACTCTGCTATCACTATAATCCAATTCATGCGCAAGTCACTGTCCTGCTGTTAGGCACACGGTTGACGTCCTCGTATCCTACGGTCAAACTGACGCGTACTACTAACGAAGCATGTTCCTCGGGTAGCTATGATCGAATACCTTTAGTCTTGCTTGTCTTTAGCGCGCACAGACCAGCATTCTCAACCATTGAAGAGAACTAGTCGTACGGATGCCTGGTAGACGCAAATATTTGTGGGAGTGGATTGTATAGACCCTGCGAGGAGCAGTGATCCGAGAAACGATGTCGTCCTTACTCTGTCTATTCGGCATCAGCCTCGCCTCGAGGTATTAAACACTGCCTACTTTTGCAGACTGATAGTCATTTCTTCCGAAGGATGCCTTCTCCTAGTCAGGAATATAGCTCAAAAACAGTTTAGCCTTCCTTGCACTTACGAATAGGCTGACGGGTTTCGCGAATTCATTCCACCGTGATACCACAGACTGTAGATCACCAAATCTTAGGGCTTGCAAAATGACATCGTCAGCCTTCGTACGGGTGCAAACGCTACACCGTCAAAGTCGCATAGACTCCTTCTGAGAATCTAGTAAAAGCGTAGTTGTACAGAAATGGCAACAGTATAAACCTTTCCGAACGCCAGAGCTTATATCAAACGGTTGGGATAGATTTTTATGGACCAGGACTCGCGCAGTGATGGAGTGATAGTAAGCCTTGATTATGGCGATGATTTTTGCCTGCAGGCCATCTAGTTCCACGATGGATTGAGTCGAAAGCAGTGGCGAAGCCACCCAAACACGGCCGTCGGTTGCCGGTAACTATGGATGAATCCTAGAACCCGTCTCAGTGTGAATATTTGGTTCGTGCACCCACGCCCGATTCGAAATCTGACCTGGTTGTACCTCCTAAAGTCACCCAGTCTGGAATTGCCGGATATGGGCGCCAGTGAAAACCTTCGCAGCAACGTCGATTAGGCCTATGCCGCGATAGTTCTAACAATTTGTTTTATCTCACCTCTTGAAGACAGGCATAATGATGCCTGAACCCCAGTCACCAGGTTCTACCTCATCTCAATCGCCTCACCAAGCCAGGACGCCAGTTTCGATACAAGATTTGTAGCTTTCGGTAGGAATATAGTCCTCTCCGGGTGTCTTATTTTTATCCAGTCCCCTTCCTGCATTGGCGATGTCTCTCTCAAAGGGGGTCATATGACAGTGCATATATTAGAAGGGGATAAAACTCTGCTAATGAGGAAAGCGAGGGCGTGACGGGTTATGCATTGGAGTTCAGGAGGTGCTTGGAGTGGTCACGCTACTTCGAGGTGTTCGCACCGCTTCTTTACTAGATCCTCCAATCTCCACTGATTCAAATCCGCGATTACTATTTTAATTGTCTAACTCACGATAAGCATATCCTGGCGAATGCCGTTTCTATGGTCTTCTACCGTTATCCATCTCGTACTTCGTTCTGTTAGTCTAACGTCTTTTAGTGTACCGCCTTCCAACCTACATTGTTTTTGGCATCTCGAGCGCTAATCTGCTTTAGCAGAGTTCCGATCGCCTAAGCTGGGCTATAACGCCCAGCATCGCTGTGCTGAAGACGCATGCACATTTTGTCTGGGGATGGGGTTTTGATTCTCGTTTTAAGTCCCAGATGTTGAGTCTAATTCCGCAGCCCCCCCCCCCTCCCCCAAATATTGAATTTGCTTCTCTTGTCAGGCTGACCAACTTTTCTTCCTCCTTTTTGCAGGCGCAGCTAAGGACGGAACTTTCCAATCTTCGCTTCAACATTGAGGTACTTCCCTGCCCTACTCATATTCTCTTAACGGTGGCCGGCTGATGCTAACAGAAGTCGCTCTAATCACTTATTTCCCTCGCCAAATACAATTGTCGCTTGCCAACATTACATTGTCATTTTCCAGGGATATGTTTGAATTAGTTTTGCAGAGATGGCAAGTTTCACTTCTATCGTTTTGCCCCTTCATGGACGTCGCGGTTAGACCTTTCACTGCTAACTTCTCTTCCCTTTTTAGGAACTCGAGGGTGAAAAGGAAATCCTCCAGTTCGAAGTAGATTCCTCTCGACGCTTGCTAGATCTTACCCAAAAGGTGTGGAATGTCCTTTGCTGTTTACCTGTTTTGGTTTGATTTCCCTTTGTAGATTTTTTTCAGTCAAAATCTCCTTGTAGTGCACGAGGTTTGCATCCTTGCCGGTCGAATCGACTCTAGTGACCCGACTTCGCGGGACATCGATAAATGGCGTGCAGTTTCCCTAGAGTTTATCACCTAACTTCTTTCCTACAATTAGACATGGACAGTTGGCACTTATGAATTTGCGACTTCAGCAGCACTTCATTCAAATCGTAACTATAAGAACATTTTGCTTTGAATCCTTAACGTCACGGGGGCTAGGCGTGGCTGCTCTTGTCGGCTGTCTAAGTGTACTCTAATAAATTCTGAAGACCCGAACTGTTTGGGACCAATAGACAGCAAATCACACAAAAGATTCGCGCGAATGACGCACACAGACAGTGTCAGCTTGGCCATCGCATGCAGCCATGTACACTGTGTGCCCCCAGCGCTTTGGAAGTTGCCCTCTTTAGAACATTCGTATGTGACGCATGTAACGTATGAGGTAGTAATTACTTCTATAAAAGGTAAGCATTGTGTGTGGACAACTTTAAGGCATTTTGGCCTCACGCCGGTATAGCCCTTTGTTCCCTCATAAAGTAAACCGGCTGGCCGACTTTCAAGACCTGCCTAACGGCATCTTCCCGGACATTCAGTTCACAAGGAAAGAAGAGCATGCCGAACAGCTGCCTTTCCTTGACGCTCTCGTCGCATGCACACCCAACGGAGAACCCAGCACCACGGTGTACAGAAAGGCGACTAACACGACTCAGATCCTCAATTACCATCGTAACCACTCAATGGCGCATAAACGCAGCTGTGTTAGAAAACTCTCCCAAAGGGTAAAAATGCACTGTAGTGAGCCAGAGGGACGAGTACGAGAAATATGGCATCTTCGGGACCAACTGGTAAGGAATGGACTCCCGAACAACTTCGTCAGCCGCTGCCTCCGCACGCACCCACAGCGAAAAAACGGATGAGAGTCGCCAACACTGGCACCCTCTACCATATATAAAGAACGTGTCCGAAGCGATGGAACGTATCGCCGGAGAGCTCGGTGCAGGTATCCCTCACCGTCGGACAGCTACTATGCGCAATAAAATCATGCGAGTGAAGGATCGTCTAGACGTTGCAGAACAATCGGGTGTCGTCTATCAGATCCCATGTCGGGACTGTCCTCGCCGCTACACGGGACAGACCGGACGACAACTTAGCTCACGAATAACGGATCATAAACGGGTGGTCCGGAGAGGCGACCCGTTGTCTCAGGTCGCCTCTCACATCCTGAGGAAGACCACAAATTCCACTTCGCGAGCACGCGGATAGTAACGCGGGCCAGCAATAAGACAGGGTGAGAAGTGCTGGAGGCCTGGGCGTCTGGCACCAATTCTATCAACAGATACGTTGACATACCCCCCTACTGTCACGCGCTCCGTTCCTGCGACCAAGAGGCGAGACTTAATTTCCAGCCAAAGCTGCATGCAGTCACGCCGTCGTGAGAATACCACCCTCTGCACTCATATCCCTCCCCTTCATGGCTTGACTACAAAAACTGCTCATTTGATGCCGCATTCTCAGTCTCTGACGATGGCCTCCTGTACGAGACCGAAAGCTCAGACTTATACATCTACTATTCCAGAGATCGTTTGTTCATCTTTACAACAAGAACTTGGGATTCGCATATTCGCTTCCATCCATAAAGTAAACTGTTTATGTACTTTTTAAACTATTATGGCACGCTAAAATTGTGACTTAGAAGGCCGTCAACTGATTGTCAACTCGGTTTTGCATCGAATCGGGAGCCATCCGGCAACGGCTCCTTAATGTGGTCCTTGTAGCAACCATTCAAGGCAAGACCCGGGATCCTTCCTCTGAATGTCGGTTCACGTGCTTTGCGCCACCTCAGCCACTGCGTCCGGTCTCAGCTCCAGCTGGTCTGACTCGGAATTACCGCTGTTGTGTCTACGATGACGAGAGGGGATGGACGGTACGGCCGTGGTAACGCGGATCCAGTTCATACAGTCCTCGCGCTCTTTAGATTGCCACGAAATGCTAAATGCCGTAACTGGAAAGGCTGCTGACCGCGGGCATAATTCAGTCCTGTATCACGGGCTGGTCTGCAGTGGCCCCTGTACAGCGTGGCCTTCGATGTGGGCTCTGACACCCCTGAAGCTGTTCCTGTGGACTTGGAAGTCAACACGAGTGTGTTGTGGTTAGACGTCGGTTTATTTTTCGTCATCCACTGCGTCGGTAATTCATCTCCGATCTTCTTGGCCATGTCTTGCCATTAAAACGGTACTTGAAAAGAGCGGGCGGAGTAGGTGTTGCGGAATTTTGCTTTGTTGCTAACGAGCCACACGCAAGTTACCACTGTCCCCTCCCCAGACGGCGACGCTATCCTTGTCGGACCTGCTGAGCCAGCTGCCACATGTAAAAATAAACTGGGAGTAACTGCACAGCAAGTACACCAATAGACTTTATTTTCTGTTTATGCATTCGTCTCTCTCTCTCTCTCTCTCTCTTCGTCGACGAAGAGTTCCGCAAAACCGTTTTTATTTTCTTATCGCTTCCCCCTTGTCTTTTTTTTCCTACAACTAGTTTTGTCAGCACTTGTTAGAGAGCAGCTATCTCCTAGCCTGCGTTATTTCAACAGCAGTTATCATGTCTTTAGCATTGGCCTTGAAAGATGCCACTACAGGCTTCATACCTGAGACTGCACCTCCCGAGGTCAAAGTGGACCACGCCAAACACGGAAAGTCACCATCTGGGAAATTATTTAGTACCGTTTTTAATAGTGTGAAAGTCTGCACTAAACCCGTAGACCCAAAACTTGCGGTTGATAATATTCCCAACCGGATGCTGTTCCCAGCTGTGAAGCCTTTTTTTCACTTTACAGGAGAACGCAAAACTCAAATCAAAGTACACGAAAGCTGTCGATCTGCTGATGAAGTATCTTCGTGAGAGTGGGCAACCTTGGCCGTCTCAACTTTATTGCTCTGACATGTGATCGGTGTTTCTTTTCCAGGAGATTCATTTTCTACAATCTGTATATAGACTTTGTACCAGACTTTATCACTTTTTTATCCTATATTTTATCCTTGCGCTCTGCGACCTTTTGTCTACGTATGTATGTTTAAAATTTGCGTGTCTCTTTCGTTACTGGGTTCCCTACCACTTCTTACGTCGCATGAAAAAACAGTCGCTTTAAACCATGAAATTACCCTTGTAGGCGCTAAATAGAACAATTTATTTATTTAAATGCCGTATTATCCCAACACTCAACAGTTATTCTAATCACCAACCACCCCCTTCTGAGGGTATTCTTGTTAGACACTACTGACTTAGTGGCTCCGCGACGTCGCATTTATGGCACTCATACTCACATGAGATTCGATACCTCAGTGAAGACTGCCGCATGCGGAGTTGGGGGCGTGGCCTTAAACGGTGTTTTTGCAGTCGTCTGCTGTCATACCTGTTGGCATCCTCGCTCAAGCTCACTTATCCGGATCAACGCCGTCAAACTTCACTCATCGTCTCTATAGCTGTTCTGTCGACATACATAACTGGACGTTCTTGTCGCTCCTTCTGTTCGACCTAGCTTCCGAAAGGCATTAAGCCCAATGATGCCTCTGTCTCCCCTCGGCTCCAACGAACCCCACGGCGGCATTGCCTTCCAGCGCGACTGATCACCCATCTTCTAGATCGGTCGTTTATTCTGGGTATATTAAGTAAGCTTCATTCCCACAGGCAGGAAAAAAAAGAGGGGGGACCTGGGCGCGAACAAGTCTGCTGCTGCTGCGTTGCGCTCGTCAGGTGGAGACGGCGTCGAGTCGGCCGTTGCGTCCCGTTTCATTTTCAGTCGGGTTAATCAGTAAAACTGATGCACGAGCCGGAGAAGAGGGGGTTTGGCGCCTGGCTCCTCCCACCAACAATTATGCACTTCGGTTCAACAAATATCTAGGACAATCGTCGACTGGTTGCCAAGGAGCACTTTGTGATCCACGCCTACCTCACCCTGTCGAATAGACTCGGATCGGGCTCGCGAGCTCCTGTACAGAATACACGTCTACCGGTGTCCTAACCCTGATCCAAAGCAGGACTGGGCCGGAATTATTGTAGTGGTAAACGTACACCGAATGTCCTAGGGATGTCACATGCTGAGGAGGCGTGGCTTCACGCGCAGGCACTTGCCGCGCCAACTACCTGAGCACAATCTCTGCATCAGATGGCTGACCGGCTCGGACAATGATTCCTGGGGTAAGGGAGAGGGTGGAGTCGACTGTGGGGACTGTGACCCCACGGCACTCGACGCATATCCCTCACTACAAACCATCTGACGCGCGGTGCACTAGGGTCCGTGCCATTGTAGTTTTCCAACCAACGGGACAACTCAGCCCTCTATTTAGGACGAGGAGTCAGACAAAAAAGACTCCTACAGTGCGTGACCGATCTTATGAAATGTTAGCAAAAATCCTGGAATGCGCCTCCGATCAGGAAGGATTACTTAAGTGGGGTTGTTATACTGATTATCATACAGTTTAGCCCTATAACAGTTCGGATTCGCAGGGATGTCGGTTTTTGAATGCACTTCTCTTTGACCTGAAGAAACCACACTCAGTAAAAATTACTACTTAAGTAACATGCGTTTTTTCGTATTGATTCTCGATGGTCTTATAAATTCAAATATTTTTTATAGAAAGCATGTACAAAAATATGCTTTCTTTCGCTAACTTGAAAGGAGATCGCATTATCTTCATATTTTATGCCCGAAGAAAGTGTGTATTTAACTCTTACAAAAGTTCCCCGATTCCCGAATAATTTTCAGTCTGATCTGCCATTGCATCAGCGTTTAGCAATTTCAGTCTGCAAGGTGCATGCTTTCCGCGTAAGGAAAATCATATACTCCTCTCTGCCTTTAAGAAAGATACCACATAGGGTTTATGAAACTTTGCAATGGATCCGGACCGTGTTGTACATTTAATGAGGAGCATTAGTAAATGGACATGTTCGGTCTTGCATGCATGGACATCGCACGGCCTTAAAAAATCTCATAATTAGAGACTTTTTTAAAACCTAAATACACAATTTCTTCGGACATAAAAAATGGAGATAATGTGATTTCCCTCCAAATGAGCAAAATAAAGCATATTTTTGTTCATGTTTTCTGTAAAAATATTTGAATTTATAGGACCATGGAAAATCAATAAGAAAAATGTATGCCATTTAAATAGTCATTTTTTTACCGAATGTGATTTCTACAGGAGGTTGAAAAGACGTACATTCAAAAACTGACATCCTGGCGAGTCCGAAATGTTATGGGGTTATGCTGCATGATAATCAGTATACCAACCCCACTTAAGTAATCCTTCCTAATCGGATACGCATTCCAGAATTTTTGCTAACATTTTATGAGTTGGGTCACGCACTGTATGGTACTTTCACCGAGCTGGAATCCGAGCCGCCCTTTTGGTTTTTGTGCAAAAACCCCGTCCACCGTACGCGGACAAGGTGCGTGTCGCACGCGCAACTAGGCTGTTTAGCCTTGTCATTTTTAACACCGTGCTCACTTGTGTGAGGAGGGAGTGCGGACGATGTGCTGCAAGTCCCGTATCAGCATAGGCTAATGTACGCTCAAGTCAATGCCTCTGCGTCAAACATGCCATGCTGCATGCGTTGGACATCCTCGGTGACGACCGTTGAAGTCTGTTGTCGCTTCTTTGAAGACGTTCGCCATCCAGCACTTCGAGGTGACCGCCTCAGCAAAGCACAGGGACTGAGGATTTCGGTTCGGTCGGGGATTTGTGTCAGGAGTTCTATCTTGTCATCGCAGCGTCGGTGTTCCTTGGAGGCAGCTTTAGAGGAAACGATCGAGTCTCCTCGCCGGTTCCTCGTCGACTGACCAGGTCTCCGCTTCATAAGGCTGTGTGGTCAAGATGACAGCTTTTTACATCTTGAGTTTAATGTCGAGGTGCAGACCGTGACTATTTCAGACGTCGGCCTACAGCCGACCTACGAGCTGGTTGGTTTTGGAGGTCCGCTCGCCACTTCTTTGTCGATATTGGTGCCTCATGAAAGGGTGCTGCCTAAGAAGGCAAATGCATCCACTCTTTTGAGTTAGGTGATGCGAGGATCGTTAGATTCAGTGTTGGCGGCTGGCCAATGACCACCATTTTATTCGTTCTAATGGTCAGTCTGAAGCGTTAACAGCGGTGATGAAGAGCTGCAGGCTCGGTTATGTATTCGGTTCTGTCCCGAACAGTCGTTCATGAAGAAGAGGTTGTAGACAATAGTTTCGGATAGACGCGGCGGAGCTTACATGCGTCGGGAATTGAGAAGCTGGTTGTGGGTCCTCTAGTCTCTGCTGATCTCAGGACGCGCATAACGGTAGGAGTCCACTAGCGTGGCAGAGGAGTTGAGACTAAAGAGGATGGGAGCAAATACGTAGCACTTCTTTAGTCCACTGTTAACTGTAAATGCATCCGAGACCCTCCCAGTGTCCCCGATATGCGCAATCATTGCGTCGTTGGCGTGGCATGTGTGGCACGTTCTGGACATCAGAATTTCAGCATGACCCGCTATTGCCATAAAATAAGCAAAAATACGAAGGTAATCTGTTTTCCTTCCAAATGAGCAAAAGAAAGCGTATTTTTGTACATGTTTTCTATAAAAAATATTCGGATTTATAAGACCATCGAGAATCAATAGGAAAAAAATGCATGTTACTTAAGTAGTCATTTTTACCGAGTGTGGTTTCTGCAGGAGGTCAAAGAGAAGTGCATTCAAAAGCCGACATCCTAGCGAATCCGAACTGTTATAGGGCTATGCTGTGTGATAATCAGTATAACAACCCCACTTAAGTAATCCTTCCTGATCGGAGGCGCATTCCAGAATTTTTGCTAACATTTCATGAGATCGGTCACGCGCTGTATGCCCAGCTCGCAGCTAGAGATGCACTCCTGCTAACACAGACATACGCATTACGTCAACATGCATTCCTGCGTAAGCGATTTTCCGATACTGACGCCCTCTTACACAAGCAAACAGCCTATTGTCGGCAACCTACCTTGTATACTGAATAAACCTGTTCTCACAGCTCCCTGACTTCTGATATTAGACGGAACAAAATTATTGTGTGCGGTTACAGTTTCTCTTACGTTCTTCACCGCCACAAATTGGCGACTCCGACTTGATCGATGCGCAATTTTCTCACGTGGCTGAAGTCAACCGTCACAAAGTTCCCACTCGACTTCACCCTGCTGTTTTCCTGAGCCACTCATCGTGTCCACGAACAGGAAAACGCAGTTGTCGACACCCTGTCGCGACTCGAGGTGAATATTACCAACAAAACTG